TAAACAGTGAGGCCAGCTGCGACATCTGTCATAGAAAGTTCCATATGGAGACTCCAACCTCCATGTATATATAGCCAGGTTGTGTCCTGCATCCCTGCTTTCCTGAATGTTGACACAACAATTCCAGACCAACAAGGTTCCCCTGTCACCACATCCACCCATCTATGCCCCCATCACCTCTGCTGAGGAAACCTACGAACAGCTTTCTGTTGCAGACTGAACTAGCCAGTGTTTGCTTTGAGCTGGCCAATTACATGGTGACCTGTGACTCTCAGACATAGATTGTTGTCTACTGTACTGTGGTGCCATGGTTCCCAAAAATGTTAATGCTGCTATTGCCAGCACCAGGACCAAACAGCATTAATTTTGGGGAATTTTTCTCTACTGGCTTCAAGGTTGGCATTAATTATAAGCCTCCCACTGTGGTACCTAGTGGAGACCTTGGTAGGGTCTGGTGAGCCATATGTGAGCTTAGCCATACCACAGCCATTGCTGAGACCTGAGCTCTCCTGACCTGATATTTGCCGAGCATGCCTTTGTTCACTGGTGTGTGGGTGAGGGGATGGAAAAAGGAGACTTTTTCTAAGACTCATGAGGACATGACTGCATTAGAAAAGGTTTATGAGGAAGTTGATACAGATTCTTTGAGGGATAGGCTGGGGGAAAAAGGAAGGGAATACTATTTTTTCATTCCTTTCAGCACTATAGCATGTTATACTCCCTGAACTTCAGCTTCAGCGTTACTGACAGCCAATACGGATTTCCAGTTAGATTGTCTTCACTCATCTTCAGTCATATCTGTCTTTTCTACGTGTGCTCATAAAATTTTTCTATCGTTTCAGAAAGTAAAATGTGAAGAAAAAAAAAAGTCCTCAGGTAAATTCAAATTCTAAAGTAATCATAAAATAGTTGTGACATTTAAAAGGAATACAAAAAGTTTTAGCATGGACAGCAAAAAGCACTTATCACAAATAATTAGGATAATACAAAAAATAACTCAATAGAACTTTTACAAAAGAACTGTTGAAATCGAAATCACAGGATTTAGTTGAACCTGTTATATACAGATGAAGAAACCATTGATAAACTAGAAGCCAGACAGGAAATAACACTCCAAAAAGCAACAAAAGAGCAGGCAAACAGGGCCCAGCACAGTAGCCTAGTGACTGAAGTCCTTGCCTTGCATGCGTCAGGATTCCATATGATCGCCAGCCCCACTTTCCCTACTAGAAGCTTAGGAAAGCAGTCGAGGACGGCCTTAGGTCTTGGGACCCTGCACCTATGTTGGCCACCCAGAAAAAAATCCAGGCTCTTGGCTTCAAATTGGCCCAGCCCTGGATATGGCAGCCACTTTGGGTAGTGAATCAGCAGACAGAAGATCTTTCTCCCTTTATATATGACTTGCCAATTAAAAAAAAATTAAGGGAGACTAAATGAAAGACTAAAATCTCAGGACAAAAAAATAAAACAGATGAAACCCAAAAGTCTTAGAGATGAAAGCTGAGAACTTTTGAGAACTAAAAATAAATCCATATATGCAGAAAACACAGCATATCCCAATCAAGGTAAGTAGCTTCACATGCAATCATATTGTCATTGAACTGCAAAACACCAAGAGAGAAGGTCTTAGCAGAAGTGGGAGCACTGAGCCGTAAGATCCACTGAATATTTAGTCTAGCTCTGCCAGGGCAGCCTCAGGAGGGACTTGAAAAGTAGTAAATCTAAAACTCGCTACTTTTTTAAAAATATATTTATTTATTTTTATTGGAAAGTTGGATATTACAGAGAGAAAGATCTTCCATTCGCTGATTCACTCCCCAAGCTGCCTCACAGCCAGATCTGAGCCAGTCAGGAGCCAGGAGCCTCTTTGGGGTCTCCCATGCCAGTGCAGGGTCCCAAGGCTTTGGGCCGTCCTTGACCACTTTCCAAGCCACAAGCAGGGAGCTGGATGGCAATTGGAGCAGCAGGACACAAACTGGCACCCATATTGGATCCCAGTGCATGCAAGGAGAGAACTTTAGTCACTAGGCTATTGCTCCAGGCCCTGAAGCTGACTACCTCTTAAGCTGATAATTTTCTATGGCCTGTGAATATTGTTAGAAATATCCAAATGCTCCATTGAGAACCCTAGGATGACACTGAGTGACTGTCCCACATCCTCTGGTACTGGTGTGGTGGGCTGCTGGGAGTGGCTCTCTCCCCCTCTTTCTCCACTTCCTCCAAATACGGGAAGAATAAAAAGGAAGATTGGAAGCAGTTGTATCATCCACTTTCCCCCATTCCTTGATCCTTCCTACCTTAATCAGTGGTCCACATGGGCATGCATCCTTCTCAACTGTGTAAACATCATCAAACATAAAATAAATCCATTATGGAAAAAAAAAAAAAAGATTCCCCATCCCTGTACCAGAGGAGGGAAAATTGACAGCTCACCTAAGTGTTGGTGATAGATTGCTCCACTGCAGCAGTGGGAGCTAGAAGAGAACACAGTGCCCTCAATGCAGTTAAACTAATTTCATGTCCAGCGGCCCGGCGGCGTGGCCTAGTGGCTAACGTCCTCGCCTTGAACGTGCCAGGATACCATATGGGCGCCAGTTCTAATCCCAGCAGCTCCCACTTCCCATCCAGCTCCCTGCTTGTGGCCTGGGAAAGCAGTCGAGGATGGCCCAAAACTTTGGGACCCTGCACCCGTGCGGGACACCCAGAAGAGGTTCCTAGATCCTGGCTTTGGATTGGCATAGCATCGGCTGTTGCACTCACTTGGGGAGTGAATCATCGGACAGAAGATCTTTCTCTCTGTCTCTCTGTATATCCGAGTTTGCAATGAAAATAAATAAATCTTTAAAAAAAAAAAAAGAAAGAATTTCATGTCCGGAGAAACTATGATGGTAAGATAAAAGCATTTTGGATTAATCAAATAGATGCCTCAAAAACTTGCCTCCCACAAGTTTTCATTTAAAGAAATTCTGCTTTAGGATGAAGGAAAATAATACCAGAAAGGAGACCTAAGATGCAAGAAAGAATGGTGAGCAGATTGGTAAGCATCTGAACGAAACATGCCAGCTGGGTAAAATGATAACCATCATTGAAGTGTAATTCCTAACTTTCAAAAAAAATATTGGACAACTAGGATAGTGGTAACATTTTAATTTTTAAAATTTAGATTTTTGTCTTCATTTTCATTTGGTGATCATGCATGTTGCAATTAGCAAGGATAACTCCTGAATAAGTGTGTCACTTAGAATCCAATGAGTAGGAAAAAGTATAATTAAAAAATTTTTTAAGATTTTATTTATTTTTATTGGGAAGGCAGATATTCATAGAGGAGAGACAGAGGAAGATCTTCCGTCCTATGATTCACTCCCCAAGCGGCCACAATGGCCGGAGCTGCACCAATCCAAACCCAGGAGCCTGGTTCCTCTTCCAGGTCTCCTTCGCAGGTGCGGGGTCCCAAGGCTTTGGGCCATCCTGGACTGCTTTCACAGACCACAAGCAGGAGCTGGTTGGGAAGTGGAGCTGCCGGGATCAGAACCGGCGCCCATATGGGATCCTGGTGCGTGAAAGGTGAGAACTTTGGCCACTAGGCCACCACACTGGGCCCTAATTAAAAATGTTTGAATAAAAAATTCTTTGTTATTGTGACTTCTAATATGCTAGATAACCTTTGTAAAGCTTCATTTCATCATCTTTAACCTGTAGTAGTAGTAGTAGTAGCAGTAGAATTTCCTTTATAATGATGTTGTGAATGTACAAAACTGTGTTAGAACCTCCCTGCTGTGTCACTATGACGTCTAATGTTAGATGACCTTTGTAAAGCTTAGCCTGTAGTAGTAGTAGAATCTTCTTTATAGTGTTCCTTTGAGTGTACAAAACTATGTTAGAACCTCCCTGTCGTCCCTGTCAGTCTCTCTCGGCTCCTGTCTTCAGAGAGTCATACTAAAGCCAAATATAGCCTCAGAGCACTGGACAGTTCTGATCATTCCAGATCTTCCTTGATTTCATCATAATAAGTCCTTGTGCCAAACCTTCAGGATTCAAAGTGTGAATACCTCTCCTCACAGCCTGTCCCCCGCTCCGCTTGATATCACAGTCTCTCTTGAAGCCCTTGAATTGCATCTGCACAAACAGTTCTGAGTTCTCCCTCCTTGTCACGTTCGTTTAGAATTACCTTTCAGAGACTAGGTAGGTGCTGGATGATTCCCTTCTTCTGGAAGTCCCTACCTATTCTTTAAACGCCCACTCAAGTTACATAAAACATTTGTGCCTACTCTACCATCCCAACCAAACTTGTAAATCATTTATGCATATCTCTTCTGCTTCTTCAGTTGAGCTTTAAATAATATGCTACAGAATTCTCCTGAAGTTTATTTGTCACTCCCAACTAAGTCTTCAGTACCTAAGACAGTGGCTGTGTCTCATATGCTGTGCTAAAAGGAAACTTTCATGAAAGTGAATTCTGTATTCCAAACACTGTACTAAATGCTTTCTCTTGTGTTTCATCTCCTCACAACAACTCATGGAGACAGATACTGTCTCACTATGGTACGAATGAGGGCATTGCATTCTGGAAGGCTAAGTAATGTATCCTGAACACTTAACTAGTCAGTGACCAACGGGTTCTATAATACTTCCCATCAAAATAATTCACAAATGTCTTGAAGGAATAAAAGGCTTAGTTTATACTGTTTATTACATGTCTTATTCACATCCTGCTCAAATTTAAAATATTATGAAAATCAATTTGAAAAAAGCTAAGTTTCTTCTGAAAATTTTGACATGCCAGTGATTGTCAACCAAATCAGAGCAGATTAAAGTCAGCGACTCATTCTTGGAGGGCTTAGATGAGGGGTATTAAGGAGACATTGTACTCTCCCAATTCCATGCTTTGAATTCATGCAATGTGAAACAATTCCTAACAAAGTGACCCATTCTTAGGGTGCTGACTGGAAGTCAGTATCCCTTTCAGAACATTCTCTCTCTTCTATTTTCCCCTTTCCTAGGGTTACACATCTTTCTGGAATGACTGCATATCATCTGGCCTGCGAGGGGGCATCCTGATAGAGCTGGCAATGCGGGGTCGAATCTATCTGGAACCCCCCACCATGCGTAAGAAGCGACTGCTAGACAGAAAGGTACAGCATCCTCTCCGGGAGCATCCTCTGTGGAAGGGCAGGTGCCATAGTACATTTCAGAAGGGAAAGATTTGAGTCATGAGACAAGTCAATATCACTGACTCATGGTCCCATAATCTAAACAGACTGAATTTTAACCATAACTGTATGAAATAGAACATTATTTAGGGAGGAGGAAATACATGAGTCATGTTGGTCTTTGTTTAAACCTGGCTGTACTCGGACAGCTCTTCAGTTTCTCTCTTACATGAACCAATCCTTTCCACCATGTGCACTGCGCCCTTGTGTCCATTTTTGTACCAAATGTTTCTATTCACACCTTCTCAGCAACTTGTCTACTTCTCTAAGCACTGCACTGTCAGGCATCACCAGCTTCTTTTCAGTCTTCAGTTTATTTTGCTCTTTTAGCCTTTGTGGCACTTGACACTTTTGACTGCCTCTACTTGAAACTTTGTCCGTTCTTGCTCTTTGTTATATTCTCTGAGTGTCCTCTGTTTCCTTTCCTCCTCCATGCCTTCATAGCCGAGTCTCAATCTGCCCTCCCTTTGCATGCATTTCTGTCCTTTCGCAGCTCTCATTTACCTTAGCAGCTTGCTCTGTCACTTTTGTGAGATTGACTCCTGCAGTTCTAGCCATGTCTTCTTTTTCCACCTTCAGAAGTATATTTAACTGTAACCAGATATTCCATCTTGGTTATCTCATACAAGTTAGAGTGAAACCAACTTTTCTGAAAAACTGGCTTTCTCTCCTAACTTTCCTGCTTTTTTGTTTCAATTTTTTGTTCCTTTATTTGCAAACAGACAGCTCATACCCACTGATTCACTCCAAAAACACTCCATGGCCATACCCAGTCAGGTACAGGAACTAGGAACCAGGAACATAAGCCAAGTCTCTCTATGGTTTTTTGGCAAGAATACAATTACTTCAGCCATCACTGCTGCCTTCCAGGGTGTGCAGTAGTGAGAAAACTGGAGGTGGGAATTGAATCTTGGCATTCTGATGTGTTTTTTTGGCATGTTAACCACTAGAGTAGATGTCTCCTCCCGCCTGCCTTCATTAACGGTCTCACAAGCTTATTGCCCAAACTCACAAAAGAATTGTTATCGAATTTTTTCTCCGGTGACATTTATATTCAGTTGTCACTAGCACCTCCTTTCAAAATTATTTTTATCTTCTCACTGCCACGGTGTACTGGATTTTAAACTTCCTGAAGACAAGGATGCTTCCTTCCATTCCTGCAACACATAACCAGAAATATGCATGTGGTGTGTTGAAAGATTTTAACCTGAGTGAAGGCAGTGAAATCCTTTGTTTCTTCCTTCCTCCAAGGTATTACTCAAGTCAGACAGCCCAACAGGTGACGTTTTACTGGATGAAACCCTCAAACACATCAAAGCGACTGAACCCACAGAAACCGTGCAGACATGGATAGAGCTGCTCACCGGTAAGATGACTCTCGCCATTGCGCAAATGGCACACTTGTTATCTTTACACAGGAATTCAGTGTGCTAGATAAGATACCCATACCCCACTATTTAAGTGGACTGATGACAGAATAAGTATTGACAAACCAATACCTATTCTAAAATTTCACATTGTCTTCTGCATCCCCTACCCTGAAAGCCCTTTAATGGCATTCTTCTCAAAAACATTCTAAAAGTGTTTGTCATCCATTTCCAAGGCGGAATGACAGATCTCTTATACACTAGTTCTTCCGAATGCCTACGATGGCCAGGCTTAAGGCCAAGCCAAAGCCAGAAGTCCAAAACTCAATCTGGGCCTCCCATACAGGTGATAGGAACCCCAACACTTGAGCCCTGGTTAGCTGCCTCCCAGGTACATTACCAGGAAGTTAAATTGGAAGTGGGAGGGGTTGGGACTCCAGCCAGGACTCCTATATGGAATATGGATGTCCCGAGTGGAGTCTTAACCTACTGTGCCAAAATATCCACTCCCACAACGAACTCTTTTTGAAGACTTGTTGAAGCCAGCGCAGTGGCATTTCAGGCTAATCCTCTGTCTGTGACCCTGACATCCCCTATCCTCTGGTTCATATCCTGGCTCCACTTCTGATCCATCTCTCTACTTAGGGCCTGGGAAAGTAGAGGAGGATGGCTCACGTTCCTGGGCCCCTGTACTCATGTGGGAGATCCAGAAGGAGCTCCTGACTCCCAGTTTCAGACCAGCCCAGCTCTGGCCATGGTGACTATTTGGGGAAATGTACTGGATGGATGTAAGATGTCTCTCTCTTTCTCTTTCTTTGTCTTTCTCGCTCTGTCTCTGTAATTCTGACTTACATATAAAATAAATAAATATTTTCTTAAAAAAAAAAAAGCACGTATTTGTTATTTGAAAAGAGAGTGACCCACAAGAGCGAAATTGATCTTCCATCCACTGGTTCTCTTCCCAAATGGCCACATCAGCCAGATCTAGGCTGAAGCCAGGAGCCAGAACTTCCAACCTCCTGCAGGGTGGAAGCTCTTGGGCTGCTGCTAGCCTCCCAGGTACATTAGTAAGAAGCTGAATAAGAAGCAGAGTAGCCAGGACTCCACCTGGCACTTTGATATGGCGTGCTGGTGTCACAATCGTAGCTTAACCCCACAATTCTTGGCCCCTCACAGGAGACTTTTTTAGCATGTTTATTGAGATGACAGCCAAGATATGAACACTAATATAATCTACCTATCTTGTTAGAACTTCCAAGTTTTTACTTAACTTCGTTGCAAATAATATTTCATTATATGGATGTGTCACATTTGTGGCGTATCATCTGTTAATGGACATTTGGATTATTTTACTTTTTGTGAAAAATTGCTACCATGAAAATTGGTGTATATGTGTGTTTATGTTTCATATGTGCTTATATATGTGTTTTTCAAGTCCCTGCTTTCAGTTCTTTTGGCTATTGACTTAGGAATAGAATTACAGTCTTATGATAGTTTTATGGTTATTTTTTTCCAATTTATTATGTTGCATTATGTGATACAGCTTTTTAGGCACTGGAATTCTCCCCTCTCCTCCCCTAGTCCTCCCCACATGGTGGATCCATCCACCTTGTTGCGTGTCCACAGTTCAAGTTCAGTTGAGATTCCTTCCCTGTGAGCATATATCTAGCATAGAGTCCAGCATCTCATCGTCCAGATAAGTTCAACAGCTTCTTGGGGAGACCCTCTCTGGTCCAATGTTAGAGCCAGCAAAGTAAAATCTGGGTCAGTTACAAGCCTAAACATAACATCAGCAACAATATACAATTTTGTGGAACTAATTGACGTAGTATCGAGTAAGCAAGTTCTTAACCACATCCTGTGACTACTTGGATGACATTTCAACAATTGAGGTGCGAGACAGTTTAGGAGGGGTGGTGTGCAGAGAAATTCTCGATACCTTGCTGAGGAGTACGTAATCTTCATGTCTTCCCTAGTGAGGTGTGTATGAGTTTATGCTGATCAGGCTTTCCCTTTTGTTCTCTGCCTATCTGTTCTAACTTGTGTGTGTGTGTTTGGAGGGGGAGCTCTGGAGCAACCCCATTGGTCATTGCAGAGAGGGTGAGGACCCAAAGCTGGAACCAAGCAAGGGCCAGAGAAAGCTCGTCTCCCCAATTCCAAAGGAGGTTTACTGTTCTTCTGGTTCTGAGGACCACTCAGGGTTCCTGTCTGTTGTTCCAGTGGCTTCAGTCCCGCGATGAAGGGCTCGGGCTTCTTCCATCCCGTATGGTAGGTCCAGAGGGCAGGGGGAATGTCCTCTGAGTTCTCGGCCTCTGAAGGCATTCCAGTTCCCCGTGGTCTCTTTGGCAGTTGGGATGCAGTCCTTGGAGCCCGTACTGACAGTCTTTGGTGGGGATCCGGGAGTCTCCCGGTTTGGGACACGAGCCTCCTCCTGTTCACCTGCTCCACTCTGGGTGCCTTCCCTGCTCTGTGCATGTGACCACCTGTTAATAGGTTGCTAGGATTGCTTTTGATTCCCCCTGTATGTCTTTGTGTTTTTACCATTGTCTAATTCTGTTCTGAGTCTATTGTCTATAGGTTACCTGCTATGTTCCTGATAGGTTACACTACATGTCTTCCTCACACCTTCAAGGGGAATAGAAGACTTCCCTGCTCTCCCGCTCCATTTCTGAGTAGCACAAAGTTTTGACAGTGTATTAGGTATTGCAATTTTTCACAGCACTTGGTTAGAAACAGTATTAATTACAGGTACATTTGAGGAAGATTAACTGTCATTGGGATCGTTAGGATTGATTCACGTTCACAAAGCACCGAGAGTTCGAAATGGAGCTATCTAAGCAGCAATCAAAGAACCAGATTCCCAGAGCTCCCTGGCCAGGCGGCCAGCAGGCAAAGCCTCGCGCCAAATGGCATGCTGGCCGCCCCGGTGGCAGCTCACCACTTGCACGTGGCATCCACCTTGTGCGATCCAGGCGTGAGACTTAGCTAGGGGCCCTGGGATCTCTCAGCCGCCTTGCGGCCACCGAGAAACCATCATCCCTGGCCCTAGTCCCGCCCCTTCCTCGGATAAACTTTTTTCCACAGAGGTTGTACCACTTAACAGTCCCACCAGCAATATAGCAGCATTCCAATTTTTCTACCTCCTTGTCAATGCTTTTTGTTGTTGTTGTTTTAAGTATAGCTATTGAACTATGGATTTAGCTAGTTTATATCTCATTATGGATTTAATTTATATTTACCAAGTAACTAATTATATTGAGGATCTTTTAATGGTTTTGTCATTTGTATATCCTTTTTGAAGAAATGTCTGTTCATGTCCCTTTCTCATTGAAAAAAAAAAGTATTTATGGGGATAGCAGTGTGGCACAGTTGGTAGAACCACTACCTATGGGTGCTAACATCTCATACAGTCCCAGCAACTCCTCTTCCAATCCAGCTCCCTAGTAAAGTGCCTGGGAAGAGCAGTAGAGGATGGCCCAAGTCCTTGGGCCCCTGGACTCACATGGGAGACCTGGAAGAAGCCCCTGGCTTCAGACTGACCTAGCTCCAGCCTTTGCTGCCATTTGGGAAGTTAAGACGAGACTAGAAGATTCTCTCTCCATTTGTCTCTCTGTGTAACTGCCTTTAAAACAAATAAGCTTTTAAAACAAAAAAGTTATTTGTTTGAAAAACAGAATTACAGAGAAGGAGCACAAACCAGGAAGAAAGAGAAATAGGGAGACAGAGAAAGACAGATCTTCCATCCGCTGATTCACTCCCAAGATAGCTGCTATGACTAGGGCTGACCCAAGCTGAAACCAGGAGCCAGGACCCTCTTCTGGGTCTCTCATATGGGGTGGGAACCCTTTACCAGGCCATTAGCAAGGAGCTGAATCTGAAGTGGAATAGCCGGGTCTCTAACCTCTGACCTTGGAATTCCAGCACTGCAAGAGGCGGGGCTTAACCTGCTATACCTCAGTGCTAGGCCAACCCCAAATACTTTTTTTTTATTTTATTTTTATTGGAAAGTCAGATTTATAGAGAGAAGGAGAGACAAAGAGAAAGATCTTCCATCTGCTAGTTCACTCCCCAAGTGGCCAAAACGGTCAGAGTTGAGCTCATCCAGAGCCAGGAGCTTCTTCCAGGTCTGCCACATGGGTGCAGAGTCCAAAGACCTGGGGCCGTCCTCCACTTTCCCAGGCCGGGAATGCGCTGGGATCCCATATGGGCACCGGTTCTAATCCCGGCAGCTTCACTTCCCATCCAGCTCCCTGCTTGTGGCCTGGGAAAACAGTCAAGGACGGCCCAAAGCCTTGGGACCCTGCACCTAAGTAGGATACCAGGAAGAAGCTCCCGGCTCCTGGCTTGGAATTGGCACAGCACCAGCCGTTGCAGTCACTTGGGGAGTGAATCATCAGACGGAAGATATTTCTCCCTGTCTCTCCATATATATATGATTTTGCAATACAAATAAATAAATCTTTTAAAAATATATATATACATTTTTATGTGAAGAGCAGAGTAACAAAGGGAAAAAGAGAGGAAAAGATTGTCTTCTGCCTCTTTCCCTGCGATGATCAGGGCTGGCCCAGGCCAAAGCCACAGACTCCGTATGAGTTTCCCACATGAGCGGCTAGGGCCAGGTGCTTGGGCTCTTCTGCTTTCCTCAGACACGTTAGCAGGGGGCTGGATAGGAAATGGAGCACACTCAGAATGTGCCAGCATCACAGACCACTTGTTAACGCACTGCGCTACCACGAGCCTCCCAAAGCTTTCAGTCTTTCATCGCTGAGCATAATGTTAGCTACAGATCTTTATCTTATTAATAAACTTGCCTGTTGTGTCTAGTTTCCTTTCTTTTTTTTTTTTTTTTTTTTTTTGGCCAATCAAGAAAGGATGTTATGGGGCCTCTGTGGTTGTACAATGGATTAAAGCATAAACTGTGACACTGGCATCGCGAGTGAGCACTGGTTCAAGTCCTGGCTGCTCCTCTTGTGAGCCCACTCCCTGCTAATGCACCTGGGAGACCAATGGAAGATTGTACAGTGACTTGGGTCTTGGCCACCCCCACGGGAGACACCCGCGGAACTCCAGGCTCCTGGCTTCAGCCTGGCCCAGCTCAGCTGTTGTGGTCGTCCGCCGCTGCCGTCACTGGGGGATGAACTCGAGGGTAGATGATCTCTCCCAATTTTACCTCTGTCTCTGCGTGTGTTTTCTCTCCTTCTGCCTCCAAGTAAAATACATATTTTTTTCTAGAAAAAGACAAACAGATGTTGGTTTTTATGGTTTTTTTCTTTCATTCTATTAAGGTAACATATTACATCAGGTTTTTTATCATTTCTATTTGTTCTATATTGATCTATAATTTTATTTTCTTGTAGCTTTGGGCTTAGGGTAACTGGTTCCACAGAATAAGCTAGAAACTATCCCCTCTTCAGTGTTTCAGAGTTTGAAAAAAAATTGGTGTTAGTTCTTTATGTATTAGGTAGAATTTCCTGAGAAACTCATCTGGTCCAGAATTTTTTAATGTTGGGAGATTTTGGACTGCTCCTTTAATCTTTTTTACCTATTGTTGCTGTTATTAATCTGTTAATATCTTCCATTTCTTCTTGAGACACCTTAATTTTCAAGACATTCACACTTTTCTACCAGGCTTTCTGATTTGTTGGCAATGGTTGTTGATAATATTCTTTTTATGTCTGTAAGGTTAATGGGATTGTCAACACTTTCGTTTTTTACCTCAGCCCACACGATGTGAGCCAAGGTGAAAAGGAAGAGGATGCGCAACTACAGCTAAGGAAGCAACAGAGACAAAGTAAAGATTATAAAAGCCGGACATGGGGGGAGAGCAGAGGCTTCCTCCCTACTGAGCTCTTCCCAGCAGTTTTTATTTTCTTAGAGTATCAAATTTCTGTACTGACCTGGCAATAGCCTAAGGTCACATCCCCACTCCCACTGGTCACTAGCCACTGAGACCTCAGGAGCTCAGCCTGCACCAGAGGAAGGAGGAGAACAGGATTCCTCCTGAGCACACAAGCTCCCTTAGCTCAGTCTTACACCGCCACCTGCAGCTGAGGCCTTGACTGCTGCCTTGCAGGCGGAACGCCCTAGCAGAGTTTGTTCCCAGAACTCTCAGCTCAGAACTGTCTCCCTCCTTCTCCCACTGCTGATGTCTACCCTGAATGGTCTATGTCAGTTTCTGAATTTAATTATTTGCATCTTCCCCCTTTATCAGTGTAGCTCATCGTTTCTTAATTTTGATGATCTTTTAAAAGAGCCTTTTTGTTTTCATTTATTTCCTGTTGCTTTTCTTTCTTTTGTTTTTTTTTCCCCCACTGTAATTTTTATTACTTCCCCACTTTAATAACTGAAAAGCTTGGTTATTTACTTGAAATCTTTGTTAATGTAGACAATCAAAGCTATGAATTCCTCTTGGAAAATTACTTTTACTCTATCTCATACATTTGGGTAATTTTTAAAAGTTTTATTTATTAATTCAAAAAGCAGAGTTAGAGAGAGAGATACACATATGTATATAAAGATCTTCCATCTACTGGTTCACTCTGCAAATGGCCACAACAGCTGGGACTGAGCCAGGCAAAAGCCAGGAGCCTGGGGCCCAGGGATATGGACTGTCTGCTGCTGCTTTCCCAGGCTGTTTAACATGGACCTGGACCAAAACTGGAGCAGCCTTTGTGCTCGATTCAGCAACACATATACTAAAATTAGAATGATACAGAGAAGATTAGCATGGCCCCTGAGCAAGGATGACACACAAATTCTTGAAGCGTTCCATATTTAAAAAAAAAAAAAAAAAAAACTGGAGCAGCCAGGACTGTGTTGGCACCCACATGGGCTACCAGCATTACAGGTAGCGGCTTATCCTGTTATGCCACATGCTGGGCCCTAAAGTCTACTTTAAAATGTGGTTTTCTAATCTTTCCAAATTATCCACAGTGAAAAACACCAATAAGAAAAACTTCAGAAAGAAATAACATTTCTCAGCCAAATGGCTGGGATAGCCAGGGCTGGGCTCCATCGAAACCGGAGGCCTGGACCTCCATCTAGGTCTCCAAAATGAGTGCCAGGGTCCAAGCATTCAAAGCATCCTCTGATGCCTTCCCAGACACGGTTACAAGGAGCAGAGCAGAAGCAGAGCAGCTGAAACTCAACGGGACACTGGGAGATGGGATGCTGTTGTCCCAGGTGGTAGCCTAACCCACTGTGTCACAATGCGGGCCTCACTCTTTGAACATCTTTATCACCATTGAGGCTTCCCAACTTGTATAGATGCCATTGGTGCAGGGTCCCAAAGCTTGGGCCATCCTCAACTGCTTTCCCAGGTCACAGGCAGGGAGCTGGATGGGAAGCAGGGCCACTAGGACATGAAACAGTGCCCATATGGGATCCTGGCGCGTGCAAGGCGAAGACTTTAGCCACGAGGCTACTGTGCCAGGCCTTCCTTTGATTTATTATGTGCCTTTGAATAAGCCACACTCTCCCAATCCTTGTTGTATGCCTATTGATTTTCTTCATGAAAACTGGATATTTGAAGCTCATAATGCTGCAACTCTGGAACTGTGGTAACTCAGTTTCTCTCCCTTCACTAGGGTGAAGGTTCCTTTATTGTTCTATAGGGTCTGTGTGTGCAGGGAATCCATCTGGGCTGAAAGCGTTAGGCCTTGCATTTTTTCTGAGGCTTCATCCTTTTTAGAAACCACACAGAAGGCCTACGCAACAGCTCAGCTTGCTAAATCCTCACCTTGCAAGCCCCAAGATCACATATGGATACTGCTTCATGTCCTGGCTGCTTCATTTCCCATTCATCTTGCTGCTTGTGGCCTTGGAAGACAGCAGAGGATGGCCCAAAGCCTTGGGACATGAAACCATGTGGGAAACCCAGAAGAGGCTCCTGGCTCCTGGCTTCGGATCAGCTCAGCCCCAGCTGTTGCAGCCGCTTAGGGAGTAAATTATCAGATCTTCCTCTCTGTCTCTACTTCTCTGTAAATCTGACTCTCCAATAAAAATAATAAACATTTTATAAATAAGTATATATAGAAATAAATAAAACCAAGGTCACTAATTTGAAATTTCAAAATAAGAAAAGCACCAGTACATAGAATAGCTCTCTTTTTTTCTCCCTCTCTATAACTCTTTTAAATAAGTAAACGCATCTTTTTTTTAAAAAAGTATTTGAGGGCCTGGCGCGGTGGCGCAAGTGGTTAGGGTCCTCGCCTTGCACGCCCGGGATCCCATGTGGGCGCCGGTTCTAATCCCGGCAGCCCCGCTTCCCTTCCAGCTCCCTGCCTGTGGCCCGGGAAAGCAGTCGAGGACGGCCCAAAGCTTTGGGACCCTGTACCCGCGTGGGAGACCCGGAAGAGGCTCCTGGCTTCGGATCGGCATAGTATCGGCCCGTTGCGCTCACTTGGGGAGTGAATCATCGGACGGAGGATCTTCCTCTCTGTCTCTCCTCTCTGTATATCCGCCTTTCCAATGAAAAAAATAATAAAAAATAAATCTTAAAAAAAAAAAAAAAAAAGTATTTGAGCAGACTGTTGCTTTGGCAGGCTAAGCCTCTGTCTGCAATGCCGACATTCCACTTGGGCACCAGTTCAAGTCCTGGCTGCTCCACCTCTGATGCAGCTCCCTGTTAATACATCTGGGAAAGCAGCTCAAGTCCTTGGGGCCTGAACCCCCTCAGGAGACTGAGAAGCTCTTGGCTTCTGGCCCCATCATTGTGACGTGACCATTGGAAGAATAACCAGCCAATGAACGACCTTTCTCTCTCTCTCTCTCTCTCTCTTTAACTCTCAGTGAGTAAATTCAGTGTGTAAATACATCTTTTATTGAGCCAATTTCTAAATATCTTATTCTTTTGGATGCTGTTATAAATGGAATTATATTTTCATTTCATTCTCAGGTTGCTTAGTGCTAATGTATGGAGGCTCACTTGGGTTTCACTTGTTAATCTTACATGCTTCGGGCCCGGCGCAGTGGCCTAGCAGCTAAAAAATCCTCACCTTGAACGCGCCAGGATCCTATATTGGTGCATTCAAGATGAGAATTTTAGCCGTTAAGCCACTGCGCCAGGCCCTGAAGGAGAACTTCCAAGCTACTAGTCCCTTGATAATTGTAGGGAAAAACGTGAATTCTCTGAACGGGGAGCTCTGGGCCTGAACCCCTAACAGTCCAGGGTAGAAATCTGATCGGTAAAGGGGCTTAGGCATGATTTTGACTAGTAAGTGCCTTAGGACAACCTGACACAGCAGCACGTAGGGAGTTCAGTTAAAAGGATAAAGACATAATAAGGGCCCGGTGGCATGGCCTAGCAGCTAAAGTCCTCATAGCACCCTTCAGAGTAGACTTCTCCACTCTGTGTTCCATATACAGACCCAAGGCAAAGCAGTGGGGCTCCTCCTCATTCAAGTCTGCTCTACCTCCAGACTCAACGTCTGCCTTACATGCAGGTGGGGTCAGTGGCCCACATCTCTGCCATGCACGTAGCCACTGGGGACAGACGTTGTAAGCTGTAAGCCACAGTGGGCAGCTGGGGTCCCAGGACAGCCAACCCATCCTGTCTTATAAAGAAGGGAGAGTGAAACTCGGGGCTCCCAGTCTACATAGCACCTCCTGGGTTGGGGTAGAAATCACCCCGGAGAGATGGATGTGTGGAAGAGCATTTCCAAAGTCCACAGAAAGAATGTGAATGTGAGTGAGAATGGAAATAGGATCCAGATCCAGAAGCATTAATAATGGGAGTCCTTGATAAGGGGTTTTTCTTTGTTTTTTTTTTTTGTTTGTTTTTAATGTGTCTCAACAGGTGAAATAGAGTTGGAGTCCAAACCACAATGTGAAGGACAAAAGGTTAAGTAAATTGGGAAATGAACAGAAATTATGCTTTTAAATTATGCTGTGGAACCGCTCAAGGTTCCACAGAGCTAGTTTCCATTTTTATTTGAGTTCTTCCCCTCTTGGTGATGTGTTCCTTCTTTTCCCCATAGGTGAGACCTGGAACCCCTTCAAATTACAGTACCAGCTGAGAAATGTGCGAGAGCGACTTGCCAAGAACCTGGTAGAGAAGGGGATTCTAACCACTGAGAAGCAGAATTTCCTCCTGTTCGACATGACCACTCATCCCGTGACCAACATGACTGAGAAACAGAGACTAGTGAAAAAACTCCAAGACAGTGTTCTGGAGCGCTGGGTCAATGACCCTCAGCGCATGGACAAGCGGACGCTGGCGCTCCTGGTGCTCGCCCACTCCTCCGACGTGCTGGAGAACGTCTTCTCCTCCCTGACAGATGACAGGTACGACGTGGCGATGAATCGAGCCAAGGACATAGTAGAACTGGACCCTGAGGTCGAGGGGACAAAGCACAGTGCCACCGAGATGATCTGGGCTGTGTTGGCAGCCTTCAATAAATCCTAAAGCCAGTAGGCAGGGCTTTCCTTCACCCTCCCTGGCCGCTGACTGGCAGAGACCCCATACTGAGCTTTGTGTGATGAGCTGTCTTCACCACTCGCCCCAGCCCCTTCTCTCAGACGCATGATCTGAGGAGAGGAACTTCAGGTCTTCTGCACACACTTCAGCCATTCTCAGCAGGTTCCGCTTCTCCCTGTACTTCCACTCCATAGGTGAATAAACAGGGTGACTCCATACACACCCAGCAAACACTCTCTTCCGTTTCTTGGCTTAGTTTCATCCACTGTGCTTTCTGAGAAATAGGAATATTTAAGCAAGATTTGGGATACTCCAGCAGAATGTGACTGAGATGATAAAGAGCAAACCATTTATTATAGTATTGTTTTTTCTGTCTTTTTTTTTTTTAGGATTTATTTATTTTTCTTGGAAAGGCAGATTTTACAAAGAAAGAGAAAGAGAGAGATCCTCCATCTACTGATTCATTCCCCAAATGGCCAGAGCTGAGCCAATCCAGAGCCAGGAGTTTCCGCTGGGTCTCCCACACAGGTGCAGAGTCTCAAAGCTTTGGGTCATCCTTGCTGCTCTCCCAGGCCACAAGCAGGGAGCTGGGCACCAATAGGGGATCCCAGCGCTTGCAAGGGGAGGATTAGCCAATGGAGTTGTCTGCCAGACCCTGCTTTCTTTTTTTTTAAGTGATGATGTTTACATAGTTGATCAGGGTGAGAAGGGTTGAGCTTTCTGTCTTAAATAGGTGTCTGCTGAATAATATAGTTTATTGAAATAACTGTTGGGGCAGGCATTTAGCTCAGTAGTTAAGAGGCCAGTTAGAACAATTGGCAGAGTAACTGGTTTGAGACCCAGCTCTGGCTCCTCACCCCCGGTTCCAGTTAACACAGACCCAGGCAGACAGTAATTATAGCTCGATTAACTGGCTTTCTGCCACCCACACGGGGAAACGTGGATTGAATTCCCAGCTTCCAGCTTTGGCCAGACCCATAAGGAGAGAAAGAAGGGAAGAAGGAAGAAAGGAGAAAAAAAATATCTTTGGATGAAGGTCTGTGGAAACAAAACTAATTTTTGTGTAAATGACCCTCCTGGTGATTTTCTCTTCTTTTCTAATCTAATGAAAAAGTCGCATATTTGATTGCCTACATCTCATACTTCTAATGCCAGAATACTTCCTCTTTAAGATAAAAGCCTAATTTTTAAAAAAATGATCTCACCCACCTGCTTCATGTAATCCACACTAGAGTTAGTAAAGGAGGCAGGTGGCCTGACCACCCATCCTTCAGCCCATCCTTCAGCACCTGAGTGCTCTGTTTCCTGTTTACTATTACAAACCTGCCCGCCCTGATTGGATTAAAGTCTCCGTTGCCTAATAGCGCCTCTTTGAGTTAAAACAGTATATGGTAGATGTTGGCTCCATTTCTACTTATTCCTGGGAGTTTACTTTTTTTTTGTTTTTGCTTCTTTTACAAATGGATAAATCCTGGGGTTCTGGAAGTTTCTATATAATCCACAGATCATCTCTTCATCATCAGTCTTGCTTCAACACAATTATCTCTCTGAGCCAACAAATAGTCAACTTGAGTAGCGAGGGGAGGGGACAGAGAAACCTTATTAAAGCTGACCTTGTGTGGAGGGACAGCGTGGCACCATGAAGGCCAACACTGCAAGACCAACACAGGCAGTGAGTTGCGCTCATGATGCATCAGTTACGCTTTCACGCTGCCTGTTGACCATTGTAGAGAGGCAGGCCACGAAAGGGCAGTCACAGCTGACCCAGAAGGCCATCCAGCCCCTCAGGAGTAGTCAGACGCATACAGCTGTGCCTACCCTAAGCCTCTCTAACACCACTGTGACATTACCAACTTAACATTTTTAAATTTTTCACTTCAAGCGTCTGTGAGGTGACTAGACACACATGTTTGTGAAGCACAGTCTGAATGTGAGGGGGAGCCCAGTGGTAGTCTGGCTCCCTGAACAGGCAAAAATCAGTGTATGTGTGATCGCCGTGTGACCTGGCTTTTCTGCCAATTTGAATAATTTGTCATGAGTTGAAACCAGGTTTTCCTACGGAAAGTTTCGGCTTGACTAGGGATAGAGGTGAGTTCCGTCTTGCAACTCTTAGTGGTCAACGCTGCATCGATAGTAAGAGGAGGATGTCTCGTTTGGAACTGGATAATGTTCACTGCCAAACACCTCCTCACATGCATTGCTTTCACGTTTCTATATGATAAAGATCAGTGGTTACTTCTCTGGTTCCTCTGTGCACAGTCGAATAACTTCATTTGTTCTGTTTAGAAGCACTTTTTATGCAATGCTAGTAACGCCTCCCCCTTGACACGAGTATGTCAACATCTGTTTTGTGCTGTGTGGAAAATAATGGATATAAAAAGTTTGTATTGAAGCACGTATAGGCTGGGGAAACCCAGCCCATCAGGACTGACCTGAAGACCAGCTAAGATAAAGTCTGAAAAGGATCCCCATCTTGGTGATGGTAATTACCCAATGACACATCAGCACCCCAAAGACAAGGAGTACACTCCGTTCCACTACTATCCGCTTGCAAGTGACACCCAAGTTCATCAAAAGGCTAAAAGCTTTGGGTTCCAAATGTGGCTGGCTCGTCTTCCTTCCTATACAATAGGACAGCAAGAATTTTATCAGAACGGTTTATACTTTTCTGTTATTTTTAAAGGCAAGGCACTGTTGCTATAGTCATACTTCAAGCAGTGTACCGTGAAATGCATTAGAAAAGCCACTGCACGACATGCACATACACAGGGATACCTTGCTAAAACGTAGGTTTCTAATAAGTCGGTCTCAGGTTAGTGCTTCAGGAAGCTTCATTGTAAACAAGCTCTTTAGAAGCTTGCATGTTAAAATTTGAGTGCCTATAGTATCATTCAAAAAAAAAAAAATCAAGAACTTAGAAAATGACTGACTCTTGCCAGGGAGTTGAGATAAAAAGTTCAACATACACTTCCAGCCCTCAAGAATGCATATTTAAAAGAGTAGCAAAGATGTTTTGTGAAAAATGGTCAAGGAAAAGGATCAACTTAGTATTTGGACAGAAAAAACTTTGTTCTTGAGACTATTAGGACAGATATAGAGGAGTTATGTTTTGTTAAGGTGGCGATCATATATTGAACACACTGGTTGTCAGGTATGCTAATTGCTTCATATTTTACAGTATCATTTATTCCTCACAGCCCATTAAAAAACACTTCAAGTTGCTTTTTTTTTTTAATTTATTTATTTTTATTGGAAAGTCAGAATTACAGAAAAAAGAAAACAGAGAGATGTTCCCTCCACTGGTTCACTCCCAAGTAGCTGCAATGGCCGGAGCTCAGTTGATCTGAAGCCAGGAGCCAAGAGGCTCTTCTGGGTCTCCCACGCAGGTGCAGGGTTCCAAAGCTTTGGGCTGTCCTCTATTGCTTTCCCAGGCTACAAGCAGTGGGCTACAAGGGAAGCAGAGCAGCTGGGATATGATCCAGCACCCATATGGGATCCGGGTTATGCAAGCGAGGACTTTAGCCACTAGGCTGTCACGCTGAGCCCCTACAAGTTGCTTTTAAAGAAAACTTGAGAAGCCAGCACATTGCCTCAACTAGTAACAGAGATTTTCCATCTGTTAGTTGAAGACTTTCCATCTTTTAGTTGACTCCCCAAGTGCCAGAAAGGTCAGGGCTGCTCCAGGCCAGAACTAGGAGCCTGGAGCAGGCTTGGGCTGCACATGGGATATGCTGAGCTGGGTCAGACCAACCACCTGGTTGGTGAGTTGAGGGAATACCTCGACTAGGTTGTGGTTCCCATTGGTAAGCATAAGAATCAGAATGGGGGCAGCGATCTGGGCTGGACATGACTGCAGTGTCCCTTGACATGGGTGTAGACTAGATCTGGGGTGTGCCAGACTGGGTTAGATTCCAACACCCACTGGTGTTCATGAGAGCCAGGGTGGATGTAGAACAGGCGAGGCTAGGTCTCGGCACCAACTGAACCACGTAAGAGCTGGGTTTGGGGATGGACCAGGCATGGCTGGGCTGTAGCACCCAATAGTAAGAATAAGAATGGGTGTGGGCTGATCTGACAAGGCCACTGTACCTGCCAAGACAGGAGGTGGGCTAAGTCAGGCTGGGCCAAGAACCCACCATTGTGTACAAGATCTGCCAGTAGGAGGAGACCTGAAGTCCCGGCAGGTGAGTGCAAGATCCAAGGCTGGGAGCAGCCCAGATCAGGCCTTCTGGTTACATTACCTTCTGGTAGATGCTGAAGTAAGGCCAGCAATGCCAGAATGGGCCTCAGATTCCGCCCTCCCTATGGGAAATTGCCCCTAGATCTCTGCCTATTTGGCCTATGTGGGAGGCCATAGGCACACAGCACACTGTGTTCCTGGGGGTGGGGGAACCCCCTGACAGTGGTCTTGGCTCACCAAGACCTCAACGTGGCCTGATCACTGGCCATACAGGTGAGAACAGTAGACTGCACCCCACTCTCTCTTCTCTGTCCTTGGACTAGCTGTGCTGGAACTTCCTTGATAAGCAACTCTGAGAAGTCAAGTGCAACCCAAAGCCCACCTGCCAGCCAAAGGTGGTGAATGTGACCTGTGGCATACCTGCCAGCAATGCATGCTGTATATGACCTGTGACATGATTGGAGGGTCCAGAGAGATAGACATGCCTTCTAGCCAATTACAGTGTCATTGTTGGGTGAGAGTACTATCAGGAGACACCCTTCTGTCTTCCCCTTTCTTAATTTAAGTTTGTAAGAACCTTACAATAAACGGACATGCTCAACCAGACTGTCTCCAGTGGTTGCTGCTAAATGAGGAATACCACTGCCGCCTCACCCCTGCAGTGGTTGAAGGGAGCCTACTGGTCAGGAACCCCCTGAGACATCCCAGTAGCACAAGTAGATAGGGGCAGCAAGGACCTCCTGCTGAGCAACTGCTCCCACCAGCGAGCATGAGGCCAGGCAGAACTCCAACACTCGTTGGCCTGCTTG